CTACCTTGAGGCACCGCAGAGTGCCAGCTCTTCTTGGGGCGGGACGCGCTGGTGTGGCTTTGTACTTGAGCGCCACACGCTGAAGCCACTGCCTCCCACAGAACTCAGAAGGTGCAACAGCATTTCCTCTCTGTGAAAATGAGGCCTGGGATAATGTGGCCAAATCGATGTAAGTCTTGAGGTGGGAAGCCTGTTTCTTTAGTGGACGAGAGTGCTTGGGAGGTAGAGAGGAGACACCTGAGAACCCGGAGATGCTGACCTGGGCCTCGCAGCAGAAAACTTTGAGATACGTGTCCTCAAGGGTCCTTGCATCTTTGACTCAGGGAAAGGAACACTGCCAAAGGCAATGAATCCAGCTCCCTTGCATTGCTCTGGCCTGTGGTGAGATTCAGGTGACTCCTCCCGGAGGTCACTGTAACCTGCACAGCCCTGCTTTCTCTCCCTCTACTGGAGACCCTGTGGCCATCAGCCCTCCTACCTTTTCAGCCTCAGGTCTAGGATGTCTTCAGTAGGGTAGGGACTCCTAACCCTCTACCACATAACTTTCTGGACCACCTACATAGATCCACCTGCCTTGATGTACCTGTCTACCCCCAGCATGGAAGTTGCTCATCCAAGTCCAAGTCCCCACTTTTCCCACATAGATTGATCTGCTTTGAGTCAAGTTTCCAGGTGATGGGAAATGTCTAGGTAGCAGCCCAGGATCCGCAGTTGACAGCCTGTCAAGATTAAACTCCAGCACTCTGGGGCAGGAGTTCCGCTCGTCTCAACTGAGGCAGAGGACTGTTTTGCTCATCTGGCTTCAGCTTCTCTTTTTCTCTGGTCCTCTCACGCCCAAGTCCCTTCTCTGACCACAGTCTTACCAGAATTCAATTTGTCATCTCAGCCTTCTGGACAGCTAGGGTTTCCACAGACCACCTGTAGCAAACCATCTGTTCCGCATTAGGAGAGACCCCTGGAGCCCTGTAGGGAACTGAAATTAGCAGAGGCTGCTGCGTGTGTGCCCCCCCTCCCAGCCTCGATTTCTGTCCCTAAGGGTTGACCTGCAACTGTGCTTCCCCTCCTTCCTGGGTCCTCTGCCCCTGTTCCCAAGTCCTGTTCCCCAGTGAATCTCATTCAAATACCTTTCCGTTTGTGGTATTAATTAAGCCTGCCAATGCCTCCCCGAATGAGCAGATGGTAATTGGCTGGGCTCTTCTCACTGAGGGGTTCTCATCCTTACTTCAACGGCAGGCCTTGCTGGGAGAGCCTGGGCCTTGGACTTGAACACTGGACAGAAGGTATTGGGAAGATAAGGGCCTACCCCCACTGTTGCCACCTCAGCTGCCACCACCAAACTCCCTGGAAGCTTAGCCCTACCCCAGCATGGGGTTCATCTTGTAGGGGGGGGGGACTCCCAAGATACAGTGCATGGGACACAGGTGTAACTGCTGCATGTTACCTGAAGCTCCTCCAGGGAAGAAGAGACCAGCATTCAGAGGACGGGAGTATCTGTGGAGTCTAACTGTGTCCTGGGCCATGTACTGTCCCCCTTTTTAAAATTTATTTTATATATAAACCACAGTTCCCCCACCCTCCTTTCCTACCACTCCCCCCACACCTCTCCCCCAACCCAACCCCCTTTCACTTCTCTGAAAGTTTAAGGTCTCCCATGGGGAGTCAGCAAGGTCTGGCACATTAAATTGAGGCAGGACCAAAGCTCTCCCCACTGCATCAAGGATGAGCGAGGCATCCCACTACAGGGAATGAACTCCAAAAAGCCATGCGTCAAAGATAGATCCTGGTCCCACTCTCAGGGGCCCCTCAAACAGACCCAGCTACACAACCGTTGCCTGCAGGTAGGGGGCCTAGTTCTGTCCTTATACTGTCCCCGTTTAACTATCTTCAGACAACAAAGGGTTTCAAAAACCCAAACCAGAGCAGCCAGACTCCTGGGCATCCCCACCCAAGGAAATAAACCTGTAGCAAGGGGCCACAACAGTGACCTCGGTCAGAGTCCTGGCACCAAGTTATTTAAGTAAGAACTAGAAGTTAGACATGAGGCTGGGGGGGACAAATTTTCTTCTAGAAGGGAATAGCTTGAAGAATGGGACCACGGTAGGACACAGTGGTCGGTCCATGGGTCCATCAAGGTGTCGCAAAGACAGAGGAGCCAAGCTCACACTAGAGGCAGACCTCCAAGGCTGTTTTCCAGCCCAGAGTCCCCTATCTTCAGAGTCAGTTGTTCAGCTCTGGGCATCTCACTAAAGTCAGATGCCAGATCCTAGGTGCCTATGGGACCCTGGGGTACAATAACCTGCTGAGAGGATGGTGCCCTTCTGAATGTCTGCTGAGACAGAGCTAAAGGAACAGACCCTGTTCTCCTAGAGACAAATCAAACAGTTCAAGTCTTAAGGAAACAGACAAGAATGCAGAGAACTCAGGATGCGTCAAGAATTTCACACTCGGGCCAAGTCCATTCAAGCTTCAAGAAGAAAAGATAATCCAAGTAAGACTTGTGAACGTCTCGACAGCCTACTTCTGCAGACACAGCAAGCTACTGGAAGCCTGGTTACAGCTGGGGAAGGGTCTAGGTTGGATCTTGCTTCCCTCACTCACTCTCCACGTGGATCTCAACAGTGATCTGGTCTACTGTCCTCCAGTCCCCAAAGAGCACAGCCCTGTGGGACCTAGTAGGGACTAAAAAGCAGCTTGGTGTGTGGCCAGTAGCTCAGTCCTTAGGGGAAGCCCTAACTAGGAGGAAGGATTATAGCTCCCATTAGGAGTTAATCTCTCTGCTGGCCACCCTGTCTGCGCAGCCCACTAAGGAGCTACACTGTATATGGCCTACAGTATCTGCAATTGTCTTTCACTTTGCACTAAATGCCCCAGTTTCTGTACTGCACAGCATACAGCCTCTCTCTAAGCCCTTGTGAGCAGGTCAGGGAACCTAGCTCATTGTGCCTGCATTGAGCCTGCCGTAGGCCAAGGCAGTATGCAGGCAAGGCCTTGGGTATAAGACACAGTGCTCCTTCTTCATGCTTCCATTTCTCCTAGAAAAGTGGACACTCAGAATAAAAGAACCTCCACTGTCTTTTCCTAATTACAGTGATGGTCAGGTGAGGCCTTCTCGTTCTCCCTGAAAGGGCAAGAGCAAGCCCAAGGGTGGAGGACAGGAGGACAAGAAAACCAGTCAGTGTTCTTCCCAGTATCACGACCAAGCCATGGTAGCCAAAGCTTCCGGACACATAGCTGATGACTTTGGGTGCTACTTAATGGGTGCTGATACCAACCTGATGGTCCCCTAGCATGAAGCCCCATCAGTTGGTCTACAAAGACCAACTTCTAAAGGTTGTGGAGTTTGGTCACCAGCTAGTTCTGGAGAAAGTGGCTCCTTTGATACCTTTATTACTGGAGAGAATGATCTATGGATAAAGGCATTCCTGGACAGCCACACCAGGGTCGCCAAAGAGCTGCTCTCTGGACTTCTCTGTCCTGGATCCAGGCTAGAGATGCTTCAGAGACTAGAACATCGTGGAAACAAGAGCCGTTAGCATGCCTGGAGGGGCAGGACTCAGATCTAAGTATGTCCTTGTCTATTCCAACTTTAGGAGGTCATGCGATTTCTAGGCTTGTGGCTTTTCCTTCACCTTCAAGGCCAGTAACACAGTTCCTCCCCAGTACTCTCCATATGTGTGTGTGTGTGTGTGTGTGTGTGTGTGTGTGTATGTATGTGAATGCACATGTATGCACATGTTAGTGTGTGTTCTCTAATTCCATCCACAGTCTCCTCCTTCCTCAAGGAATCTATGAAGGCATTTGGGGCCATTCTGTGACTTGGGACATCTCCCCATCTCAGGATCTTTATCTAAGTCCTTTTGTCATGTGAGGTGACCTATTTGTAGGCTCTGGGATCCGAATGTGGATAATTTGAAGACTGTCAGGCTGTCTGCCCCACCGTGGAACCTGGTCTGGTTAAGATATCTGGTGGGTCACCTCAGGTCATTAGGGTCCTATTCCATTCAGTTGCTAGCACATGGGACCCAGCCCTGGGCCCTCAGCACAGCTTATGGAACAAAGCTAACTGGCCTTCACATGGAGCAGCCAACTCTGTGCAAACACTCCTGTCTAGCTTTCTAGAGTGATGTGTGAACCAAGTATTGAAGGCCCAGCAGTGTCTCACTGAACCCTCTGGGTGGCCAGGGGTCCTCTCTTGGACAGGGTTTATATATACATAGCCTGCCCTATCTTCTCTGTGGAACAGAGAATCATGGGGAAGAACTAGGGGCTACTATGGGAAGCTGAGGCCAGGGAGGGCTGCCTTGTTTAAGGTAAATTTTAAGGGATAGGAAACGGGCCTTGGTCAGGCTTGCTTGTACAGCTTCCTAAGAACAGGAGGCATATACCAAAGGCAGTGGTCAACCTTGGAGAAGGGCTCTCTTCTTCTGTGTCTATTTCTCATTCTCTCAAAGTGAGAGAACAATACACCATTTCTTCCTTTATTTTAGGAATCCATATATGAAAGTAAGAGGCTCTCATGAACGTGAGTGTGGTGAGCAGAAAGGGCTCAGTTGCTAGGCCAAACGGTCCATTTATCGTTACTTTGATGGATATACAGAATGGGATGGGAAAGGTAGTGAAATAGTCACCTGGAGCAGGGGACACAGGTGCCCAGGCCTGAGAGAAAATATCACTGAGCTGAGTCAGGCAGTGTTCTGCACTGGGGCTGGTGTGGCTTTCTGTGGTCTTGGAAAGTGTCTTGACCTCTCTGACCCTGGAATCCTTGCTGGTGGCAGGGAATGGAAATGAGGCCTGTTAACCAAATGAGGATGTGAGAAGGAGCACAGAGTGTCCCCAGGGAAGGGAAGGGAAGGGCTCTGTCATTATGTTTGATGCCTACAGGAATGTCTTCATGACCTCTAGAGTTCAGTCCCGAAGGGCGTTCTGAGAGAGGGGTGTGGGCGCCCGCTCCTCACCAGGTGTCTCTGAAAGTGACTGAGGCGAGTTTTCAACTTTCACAGGTGTGTGGTCTGGACAGGGGATGACCGGGTTTTCTTCTTCAACCCGACCATGCAGCTGTCAGTCTGGGAGAAGCCCATGGACCTGAAGAACCGTGGGGACCTCAAGAGGATCATCGAGGACCCGCCCCACAAACGCAAGTTGGAGGCCTCAGCAAGTAATTAACAGGGGATGGGGTGGCCCTGTGGAAGGGCTATGCTCTGTCTGGGGGCAGGAGCAGGCACTGCTGCTGCTGCTCATGGTTATGCTGGGGGGCGGGGTTATACTGGAGTTATGTTGAGGACCACAGACTCACACATTAAGTTTTTGTGGCGCTTCCCACTGAAAACTTGACCCTTTCAAGTGCTGGGCTCGGGCTTCTCCTTGCATCCCATGAGGTCATCTGTGCAGGGACAGTGCAGATGGCCACTGGCTGTCCTTTGGCTTTCATTTCGTTCTCCTACAGATGGGCACTGGAGAGCAGATGTGGGCAAGTGTGAGTGTGTTTCCTTCAACACCGCGGGATATTCTCGGCCCTGGACCACGGAGGTCATGGCTATATATTAGTGGAAGCCCACAGATGGGGGTGGGGCAAGCGGCCTTCTGTCCCATAGAAGGGACTGTTAAGTGAGGAGTTGGCTACTTCTGACCCACCAGCCTATGAGTCCTATCTCACCAAGAGTGGGAGAAGAGCACCCAGCATCCTGTGCGAGGCTCCTTGTCAGGGAAGCAGATGTATTTTTTATGAGTGGTGCATGCATGGGAAAGCCCTGCTCCCCAAGCACACGGATTAACATAGCATCCTTCAAGAGGTGTGCTGGGGACTGAATATGTGTCACACACGCTGGACAAGAGTTCTGATCGCAGAACTGTACCCCTGGCTTCTTTTTACTTGTTATTTGAAAACAGGGTCTCATTAAATTGCCTGGGTTGTCCTTGAACACTGTAGCCTCCAAAGGCTTTGCATTTTAAATTCCTCTGCCTCAGTTGTCCAAGTGGATGGGATTACAGGCCCACACCAGGCTAGCCTCACCTTCCATGCTGAGAGTGGTTATACAGTCTGAAAAGGGAGAGAGGTGGGCATGGAATCTTGACATTTCAAAGGAAGTTGTTGTTTAATTTTAGAAGGTATTTTAAGGGCTTGATGTGATTTTTCCCCCCACATTACCTACAGCTGAACAAGAGGACATCAGCTTGTTAAGTCAGAGCCAGTTAGAAGGCTGCAAATTAAACCCCTCCTAGCTCTTCACAGTACTACAGAGAATTAGGTGGTCTCGGAAAGCCAAACTTAGTCCTGAATGAATGACACAGAACAATGCAACATTTCTATCTCACTTAAGCAGAATATTCTCCTGAGAGTTTTCCCAGCTGATGATGAGAAAATAAAGACGTCGTAGGTGTATATTTCACTGGGGTAAAAAAGAAAAAAAAAAAGAAAAATATGTTAAAATGTCCCTGTGTTCAGAGACGATGAAACTGGACTTTTGACTGTGTTTTTCCCTTTTGATGAAGTGACATCTGAATTAGAGGGGGCATTTTCATCACCAGAGAGGCTTTCCAAGCCCTGCAGATCAGTTGCTTTTGGCTCTCAGACAAGAGAAGGCGCACAGGTCAGAAAGAGCAGGAGGATTTCGTATCTTCCGAGAAACAGTTGGCATGGTTTTCCCTGGCAGTGACTTCATTTGCTCCATGGATGGTGATGATGCTCTTCGCACCTTTTTAAAGACGTGACTTCCAGAAACTTGTGTGTGCTCTTTTGATTTTGCCCCAAGCACTAACAGGAATGAGGAAAAAATGAGGTGATTAAGAGTTGAGTGCATGGTTCTCTCCTGTTGTTTGGACCAAATCATGCCAGATCTGAAGAGACAGGGAGGTGTCTCCAAAACCTCTACAGGGTGGTCTGGGAAGGGGACCACAGCCTTAGTCACCCGAGTCAAGTAGGTCAGTGCTCCAGTTTATCCCACTAACAGGGACTGCATTTTCTAGGAACAAATGCAGAGTCGTGTGTCAAGTCTAACGGACACACCCAGGAATGTCTGAGTAGCTTAACTTGACATCACAACCTGGGGACAGCACAGCCTTGAGGTGGATAGATAGATAGATAGATAGATAGATAGATAGATAGATAGATGAGAGAGAGAGAGAGAGAGAGAGAGAGAGAGAGAGGGGGGGGGCAATTTTGAAATGTGTGACCTCAAGGACATTTTTACCTTTAAGAGAAGATGAGGCAGTGGGCATTTTCTTACACAATTCTAAAGCACATGCAAATTGCAAATGACCTCCATTTGCAGTTTCTAGTTGCCAGGAAGACTTGTACTTTGAGACCAGAACTTCTAACTCCGTGAGACCTGGCAAGCATCTAGAGAAGAAGGTGTTTCTGGAGAATTGATTAAGGAATGAGGGAGGAACTGGCAGTCTCCAGCCAACATCAGCCTCGTGGCACCTTCCCTGGCTGCTGGTTCTTCAGGGATGATGTGGCCTTGTTGGTGTAACAGGCTCCAGGGAGATGGCTCTCAGTGGCATTTGTTTTATATTTTCTTCAGTTGAGATCCAGTCTGGATTGGAGTGTATTGATAGATGTTTCTTTCTATTCTAAACAGAACAGTTTAGCACTCTGGTTGATCTGTCCATCCCCACTGGTTTCCAAGAGGCAAATAAAATGAACTTTGTACAATATCAGCCACATTAAGTGACATCAGGCTGTGTGTGTGTGTGTGTGTATGTAGAGAGAGAGAGAATGTGTGAACGTGTGGATGTGAGTCCATGTGGACATGAGAGTATGTGTGTGTGAGAAGAGAGAAGAGAGTATGAGTTTGGTGTGTAAGTACGGAAATGTTTATGTGTGTGAACATGTTTGAGTACATGAGAGACAAAGAGAATAGGTAGTATATAAGAAAGAATGTACATGTGTGTGTGTATATGAATGTGTGTAAATGTACATGAACCTATGCAGGTTCATATGTATGTGTATGTATATACATATGTATGTATGTGTATATGTATATGAATGTTTATGTGTATGTGGGTATACATGTTTATATGTATGTGAGTATATATATTAATATATAGGCATGTGTGCATATAATTATACATGTATGTATTTGTGTGTTTGAGAATGTGTATGAATGTGTGTATGTTTAGGTGAGTATGTGTGTGTATACTATGTGTTTGTGTGTATGTGAATATATATGAGTATACATGTGTATATATGTGAATATGCATGTACATTAATTATGTGAATATATTTGTATATCAATATGTCTGTGTAAATATGAGTATGCACATATTTACGTGTTTACATGCATGCCATATGAGAGTGCATGTGTGTTTGTGTGTTTATATGAATATGTGTATATGTATTTATGTATGTATGGGTATGCACTTGTGTGCGTGTGTGAATGCATACGTGTGTGTGCCTGTGTGTATCTGTGTGTGGTGTGACATTCATGATGTTACCCAGGGATGTATGAGCTCTCAGGATCAGTCAGCTTACTAAGTATAACTCAAGTACTTATCCTTTGACATTTAGCAGGGAAGGAGGGAATCCACCCTTTCATTCTCTTGGCCTTGTTAAGGGATTCCAGAGAAGATCCAAATTACCATCTAATTACCTTGTAATGCATCCAGATGTTTTATGGCTCTGCAGTTTTGCTATTGAACTAAAGCGAAATGAGAAGCAGAGGCCTCACCCATTGCTGCACTCTAGGATTGTACAAACTCCTCCCATCAGAGGCACTCACATTTGTCTCTCCATCCGACTGTTCGTGTTCATCAAGCCTAGGAGAGTTGTAGTTCTTTCTGTGCTAATCAGCGGCAGCAATGTCCACTCTTACTGTGAAGGGGTAGGAATCTCTCTGTCACCTGGCCAGTGCACTGGCAGCATTATGTCCTTACATCCCACCTGCCATGATCACAGAATGCATCCTGTTCCTGCCCTGGGAGGTCCTTTCATTGGATGATCTAACAGAGTAAAACATTAAATTCAGAGCGTATTAAATACCTGGCCACTGAGCGTCTCCTCTGAGGTAGAGGAGAACAGGAAGTCAGGTAGTGATCACTCCACCCTTCCTCCTGTTCTGTCTCCTCCCAGTAGCTGAAGAGAACAGGAGGCCTGGGTCAGGACAGAAGCAGCAGGCATCCTCTTGGCAGAGGATGGAGAGAAATGTTTAACAAGAAGCTCCCATACTTGGTTCCAGAAATTCTCACAGTCCTATAGGATGGCACCACAGGATTTGGGCATGAATTGCTATTATAATAAACTTCCAAAAATTGTCCTACAATGAAACAAAAGACCAGATTTCAGTACCAAAGTGCAGAAGTCCAATGTGCATATCCTGAGTGCTAGCAAGGCATGTCTTCTCCGAGGCTCTGCGGAGTATCTGCTTCCTCCTCCTTTCTAACATATATTAACTCATATATTAACACACAAACACACACACTCACATACACGTAAACATGTATACCCATATACACACAAACATTTATATACATATTCACATATATCCATCAGTGGCCTTCTGATTTCCTTGGTCCATTTCTCCTTCCTGCCTCTTCAAAACAGCTGGGAGGCATCTCTGGTCTTTCTGACATCTTCTTTAGGCACTTTTCATTATCCAGGGCATGGTATAGGACAATCTCCATCGCTAGGTAAACTATATAGAAACTCTGAGTCTCCTCTCGGAGTGACCTAACATTGTTGGGAGGCATCTCTGCTTTCCATAATCTATGTCCCTACTTTACAGAAAAAGGGGTGCAGAACAGGTATCTTGCTGAGTTCATGGGTCTATCAGATGTGGGATCAGGAATTGAAGGTTGATGGGTCTGACCTGAGGCTGAAGCAGAGCTTCCTGGTCAGGTCTCACAGGAGAAATCGGGTACAGGTAGCCTTGACTAACAATCCCTTGTTCCCTTCTGGGCAATAGAGACAAACAAGAACTCACTCAGCTTCAATTGCTGTGCAAATATTTTAGTCATTTATATTCAGGATAAATGTGGATTCACAGTGACATGCATTTCACTAAGTAGGATATAAAATCATCCTGAGGGTAAACACAGCTGTGGCTGGTGAAGGGGCCGCTTCCCAGGCATTGTGTTGCCGAGACAGTGTGTACTGGGTCTCTGTATCACAAAGGGACCAGGTGGCCACTGAAAGGCAAATGCTGGAACCCTCCCCAAAGCGTAAGGGCACGCTTCATTAGCTCAAGAAGAATTGGGTTAAATGTGGGGGGTTCTGGCTAGGGACTCCACCTGCTCAGCTCTGTGTGAGGGGCTGAAGTTTATTTACAGTGGAGTTGAATTCTGTATGTTGTCTTTTGTATCAGCCAGGACTCTGACTGATGTTTGCACTGTGAAGGCAACAGGAGCCTTGTTTTCTGAGGTTCCTCCCAATGGCTAAATTGGTCAATCTCTGTATGTGACACCAGATAAGAAGGGTGGGGAAGCCATGGTCTCTTGGGAGAATCCCACATGGACTTTAGGAAGAAGCTGAAGACAGAATGCAGGTAGGGTTTAATGTGGGTCTTCAGCTGGGAAAGGAACAAATAAAGTCAAGAGAAGCTGACACGGGGCGGGGGGAGGGGGTGTCTTAGGATGTTTTCATAATACCTTATTCATGGCTGCGTTTGGCCTGCATTCATCTGGCAAGGCTAGTGGAAAGTTCAGTAGTGAGCCGTGTTAGTTAGCTCCTCATCCTCATTTATTCCTCACTAGAAGAAAGAATCAGTGTAACTCTCTGTGTCTCCAAGCCCCTGTCTGTTATATGGAACCACACAACCTTAATCAGTCTGGCTTCCCAGAACCAAACTTTCATCCATTTCTCATCAAGCATAAGAAAGAAGGAGAAAAGAAAGGGGAGGGAGGAGAGGAAGGGAAGGAAGAGGGAATCGTTCTCTAAACCAATCAGTTTTTTTTTTAATTGACGTTAATCAAGCCCAGGCTTGATAGTTGGCATTGCCTCCAATAGTAAGCACATGCAGATCAGAAAGCCATGCACCTTCTAAGGGTGTGTCCTTCTCCCTGGCTTTTGTCCCTGCTGCAAGCTGGCTTCCCACTCCCCTGGCAGCCAACTCACCCCTTTATTGGTCCCTGATACCAAAGGACCATTGCTTTTCCTAGAGAGACAGAAGGAAGGTGTATTAGTATCAGATAAGGTACCAGCAGACAAAAGAAAGGACTGTCCAAGTCAGTCCATTTACTGTGGTTGCTTACGTGGGCAGCCACACAGTAGCCAGTCCTCTGGGCAACCTATGCACAGTTGCACTAATGAAGAGTTTCACTCCGGTCAATTGCTTCTCTCATATATAATCTCAGGAAGGGAAGACCTCATGAAGATCCTAGAAAGGTCTCTTGAGGGTCCCATGAGCAGTGTAAGGCTCTCCCTCCACAAAGAAGTTTGAATAGGCCCAAGGTCATGGGCGTGCTTACAACTACGCTTCAAGATAGTGGTGAATGTGCCCAACATGGAGGACTGCTCCCCTTCCTATAGCTCTTAAATTTTCACACCTTCTATTATGTTCCCTGATGTCTCTGAAGCTTTGGAAAGGGATCACACACACACACACACACACACACACACACACACACACACACACACACATTTACAAATATTTTCTCCCACTTAGGGCTGAGCATCAGGTCACTAAGCCACAGCAACAGCACAGATAGACACTTGTTCCCAGCAGTTTCAGTCATCACGAATGAAACCTCTGCTCTGACTGCTGCCCACTGTCAAAATAAGACTCCTTGGACTGTGAGCTGACAGCAGCAGTAATCTACATACAAAAGCAAGCCATGTTTGGAGGAGTCTGACAGGCTCGTTGCAGCTATTTACCACAATAGCAGACGCCTCCTCTCTGAGGTCTGTAATTTCCCCAGTCGCGGGCCCTTTTCCTGAGTTATAGTACCAAACACGGGTTCCCGCCTGTAAACTCCAACCAGGAAACAGCTAGTTGTTCCTTTAATGGCCACAGCACAGTTGGGCTCATGGACACACCTTTCCTAGAGTGTTGACAGGGAGGAGTGGCTGCCTCTTCCTCTACAACCTGTGGCCACGTGGAACGCAGGTACCCATCACACCCCAAGGATCTCACTTGAGTGCATGGCTGCCCCACCTGCCACTATTTAATTCCGTGATTCTCTAGCAGGTTTCAGCCACAGACCGTACCTGACACACATTTACATAGAGTAATCCCTCTGCTCCCAGAAAGAAACACCGTCTCAGAGATACAGGGGATTTAATGATGGCTAATAAGCCGTAGTCTATGAGTCATGAAACTTAACATGTGTTTGTTTATGTCAGTCCATACCCACAGTTTCACAAGAGTGTCTATTGTTTAATTCCATATTATTGGAATTTCTATATCATCAGGCGCATGTCTTTTCAGTTTCTAACATTGTGAAGTCTTCCTCAAAAGGGATCAGTCCATCAATACACACTCCCAGGGATGCACTCCGTACCAGCACCGTGCATCACCAGAACTTAATGTAAAGCCATTCCTTATTGTGGTTGGCATTTCTTTAATTCTGAGTGATTCCCAGAGGTTTGTGGCCATTTGTTTTGTGTTTCTGGGAACACATTCGTGTTTGTCTTTCTCACTGAATTATAGGGACTCCTGTAAATTGGGGGATTAAGGTGTTTGACTATCATATCTTTCCAGTATTTTTCCTGAGCTCTGATCTTTTCCATAAAACAGTTTGCTCATGATTTTTTTATTCTGAGAAAATATATGTAGCATACAGCTTACCGGTTAGCCGTCTTAAAATGTACATTTAGTGGCATTAAGTTTATTTACAATGTTGTTTGCCATCACTACTAGCTACTCCTGGAACTTTTCCACCTTCTCAGACAGAAGCTCTGTCAGAGTTTGGCAGTATCTCCCTGTGATCTCCTCCCCTTGGCTCCCGGCATCCTCTCACAAAGCCCAGAAAAGGGTATCAGATCCTCTGAAGCTGGAGTACAGGCTGTTGTGAGCCACAGGACGTGGTTGCTGGGAACTGAACTCCTGTCCTGTGCAAGAGTGGTGTGCATGCTTACCCACTAAGTCATCTCCTAGCCTCCATGACCCCCCCGCCCCGCTGCCATGTTGGCTGTATAGGACATCATTGTGAAGTTAGTGTCCGAAGCTTCCTCTTCGCTTTGCAGTAAGGCTTTATGCGCTTTCAGCAGCCCGTGTCTGATTTATCTGAATGGAGTCAGCTTGTGGGATTCCTTCAGACACACCTCTTAAATTCTTTACTGTTTCTCTAGGTGCGTTGTAAACCGGTTCAGCAAGGTAATCTAGGCACTTTCAGGTGGTAACTCCATGAGGTTTTTTTCCCCTTATTTTTGGGAAACTGATGACCCAGTTTGCTGCTGGCTGGTTCAAATCATCTTTGATTTTTCATGGGAACTTCATGCAGTATGTTGTTTGCTTTTGACATGGTCACAGCTGTTTCTGCTCCATCATCCCTGAAGTCAGGGGAGGACAGCAACCTCTCCCTATGCCAGCACTGCCCTCGTGAGTAGTGTGCTCATAGTCCCCCAGGTGTGAAGAGGATGATTCCAATCAGTGGCAGTGGCAGAGACCAACACGATAGATCTGCTTTGTGTGGCTTTCTGTTTCATATTGTATGTTTAAAGACAGTCAAACTTGAAAATATTGTCCTATGTGATTTATGAATTTTTATATCAGGACAAAAACAGTCTACTCGTGTTAAGATTATTAAAAAAATAATCAAAAGACCTCCTAAACAATAACCAACATTCTGCAGGTTTATCTTGAATAGTATCTATATAATTATTGGACAGCCTGTGCATTTAAGGTTATCACTGATCATGGTCTCTCTGGAGTAGGCTGGGGTGTGTTATGGTTTTGTCTCTTCTATGATGTCCATGTCATTATTGCACTAATGGGCCTATCTTGCTAGGCTGGTCATTATTGCATATGGAAGGGTTAATAACAGGATAAAAGTATTAATTATATTTCTACCCTAGTAATATGCACAGTAACTTCAGTACTATGAAAGGTAGCCCTCGTAGAGATGAAGCTTCCAGGTCAGTACCTAATGGTAAATGTAATATCTTAAAAGAAAAGATAGGAAGGTCCAAGTAGGAAGACCAAGAGTTCAAAGACCACCTTGGCTACATAAAATCTTATCTTGGCATGAGGTGGGGCAGTGAAATCACTATCCTGTGAGTTTTACACTTGTTTAGAACAGGGACATTAGGCCTTTCAGGAACAACAAGACAATACACAGCAATTGATGGGAGGGTGTGACCCAGGTAGAAGTGTGGGGACCTGGAGGTGCACTTTGCCAAGCTGACTCCACCCTTCCTCCACTGTCAGCTCTATGACTGGCTTATAGAGATAGTGGGTTTGAGAGTGTACAGATGCAGAAGGGAAAACAAGCTAGGCTACCTCTTGTTTTACTGGGAACAAAGTTCATGCAATGGGTCAGAATTGACAAGGCTCTAGAACCATCTCCCATTCATTCTTGCTCTTTTACAGTCAAACCGGAAACCCCAGGGCACCAGCACACATTTGCCATTCTCACATTTCATGCAATAATTCCAGAGTTGCACCATATAGCTTGAAAACAGTAACACATCTTTCAAATGGTCAGGCTTTGGACAAAGGTAATCTGTGATAAAGGTCATATGGTATGCCAGAAGGGCCTATTGCTCTTGCAGTGGATGGAGGAAAGCCCTGGGTACCAGGAGACCAATAAGGAGAAGCTACCACTTCAGTGGCCAACTGGCAGAGAGGCAGTGCTCATACCTGCTTGGGAAGGGCTGATCTTGCAGGTAGAGCAATGCTTGTTTGTTTGTTTGTTTGTTTATCTTATTTACTCATCCAGAGGCCTGGTGACCTCTGGAGGCACATGGGCTAGAGATGGCCTCTTTGACATCAACAGTCAGGTTGATGTCGAAGTCAGGTATCTTTTCTGCTATTACTAAAATTCAAAGGAATAGGTACCAAAGAAAGCAAGTTCATGGTAGTAATGTCAGAGTCTAAGAGAAATTCAATTTCCTAACTTTTAGAGGGGCTGCTGGCTTCCAGAGTACTAAGACTGACCCTCAACTGTGTTAATGTGATGTTTCTTTCAGCTGAAAGCAGCGATGGATCCAGTTCAGAAGATGGCAGTGAGGACCAAAGTGTGAAAACTAAGAGGAATAGGTAGGTGGCATTGTCCTATCCTATTTTATCTGCCCTTGATGCTTTGGTGGCGTGAAAAGAAAGCATGAAAAGAAAGCACTTCGACTACACCAAGTTAAGAAAAAAAATTAGTTTAACCGTGAAGCAGATGCCGTGGGTTATCTCTTGGCATCTGCTCTGGGTATTTCATTGAAGTTTGGGGCCATGTGCTCAGCTTCCAGAACCCCGTGGAAGTGGCCATGGTGGCCCCCTACTCAGGGCATACCTATGTTGTGTGTAAAATAATTCTGGGTGGATATTGCTTCTCTGGGTCTTGCTTGCAATCCATCCAGTCCTTGTCTTATAAGTTCTGGAAGTGAAGCTGTGGACATGTCTGCAAAACTACCTGTGGTACTTAGTAACATGAAGGTATCTATCAAACTGGCTTGTCATTGCCTGGCTGCACATGTGGGATAGAACATGTCCTTTCCTTTTTAGTGTCTCTCACAAGGTCACTGGTCTGTCCTCTATATACGGAACAACTCATGAACTTAGTTGTCCTTGGCCTCGGTAGGACCTGAATGGATATTCTACTGAAACATGAGGCTTTCTTGGGCCCATCAAGTACCTTCACCTGCATCTGGCTTCTGTATCAGCTTCCTTCATTATCTCCCCAGGCCCGGACCAGAAATTCAAAGACTTTGGTCAAGCATGTTGGCAACATTTTCTCCTTTAAAAATGTCTCTTAATAGAAAAAGCAGACATTTGGCATTACAAAAAATAAAATCTTATTTCAGAACCATTATCCATTTTCACCTCCTTGGTCCTTCATCCTGAGATATTTCAGTAAACAAAAAGATGATGGGAAACTAGATGCTGGGCCATTATGTCTCTGATAGCTAGAATTTAGGATGAATTCTTCTCTCCAGTGAAGGCCACAGTTAGACTGGAGGGAGAACTAACTGAGTTCAGAACTGAGAAGAAACCCACAAAACTTTCCAGAACTGTGAAGGGTAAAGGTGGGACACTATCGTCAAGGCTGGACACTGTGGTCCAGCAGGGGATGGTTTTTCTCATCACTGGCCTCTTGCTGTTGTGCCTCCCTCTGGAGGTAGTGTTGGGTCTGTGCAGGACCGGCTGCTATGAAGCAGGGACAGAACTCTGTGGGACCCTGGGGCCAAGCCTCTCATCCCCAGTCTTGAGGGCCTCTGCTTTCTGACTGCCTCAGCTCTTGCCTTTAAGAGGTTACTTCGTGGAAAGGCCAAAGAAAGCCTATGTGACCACAGGAGATTTTTATCCAGCGTCTTTGATGATTCAAGAGTTCGAGAACTGGGAGGAAGGGCAGGCAGCCTTTTGACTTTCTTGTCTACAGCATGACAGTCAGCCAAGCTGCCCCAGCTGGTCTGTGCACAAGTGCCCTGAGTTTGAAACCCGAGACAAGCCCCCTGTGGTGCCGGGGAAATGGACTGGCCTCGGATTCTGAGCAATTGGCATTTAAATAACAGCGACACATTAATTTTGGTTTTAATCATCTGAATGACTTCCAGAATTAAAAACTGACTTTGAAACAACAAGCACAGATGTTTCCCGCAGAGCTGTTCCAGTTTCTGCAGTTGTGCATGTCTACATCCACTGCAGCTGCGGGAGGGGCTGGTGCCTGTTGCATGCATGCTGCTGTGCCTCCGGGCTCACCAGGTACTCACCCAGGGCTGCCTTGGTGAGGCTGTGCCTGCCTAACACGATTCTGCAGGAAAAAAAAAATGTTCAGTAGCCAGGAAACAGCCAGACTGAAGACCCAGCATATTCCAGAAAGTTCTGGAAATCATTCATTTTTGATCCAGTGTACAGAGAGGGAGGCTGGGTAGGTCTGTATATTTAGAAGGGGGGGGGCAGCTCTGTGCATGCAGAAGGCTAGTCTTCTCTGTGTGGCAGAAGGTAGGCCTCCTTGTGTTCACAGAAAGTGAGTCCTTCCCTTGTGTGTACAGAAAGTGGGCCCGCCCTGTGTGTTGAAGAAGGGTCTGCTCTGTATGAGAAGTCAGGTTTGCCTTGTGCCTTGCAGAAGGCAAGCCTGCTGTATCTGCAGCCCCACCATGGTTCAGCTTTCTCACCGTACTTTTTGTTTTTTTGCAGTGCCATGACACCTCATGGCTCATTGATAATGGCCCCCACTGCACTTGGCAAATGGCATTTCACAGGTCTGGGCACTGTATGCATTTGATATTGCAGAATTGGTTCTAGGCAGCAAGGAATATGTTCCCCCCCCCCCATCTTTCTGGAATCACTTCATCTTGACCTGCCCCTTTAGTATAAATAATATTTTCCCTTTTCGAAAAGCAATGAGAACTTTCTGGCAAGGTGTGACTTGCTGGCCCAATGTGTCATGATACATAGAAATAGGGGCTAAATGATAGTGATGGCAGTTCTAGATTCTTCTCTACCTCTGCATTCTGATGAGCCCTGGCACAGCTGAAACCACTTGGGGCATTCAGACACAGATGGAATTAAATTGATTGTGCAGATAATGTAGGCACAAATGATACTTTCCCTAAAATCCTCTTGGAGGAGAAATATGTCACAATGACAAGCTTTCAAAACACAGAAGTATTTTAAACTACCTGGCGAGTTCCATTTCCTGAAAGCTTCTTATTTACCATTTAGTGGAATGGGTTCCTGATGCAAACTCATCCATCTTCCCCGGAACCAGAAAATTGGCTCATTGCTGCATGTCCCCTTTTCATGCAGGGTTTGGAGGGCCTGCCAGTTCCTACTTTCTGAAGACTGGGTCTTTTCATAGTTTGGACCTGCTTTTGGAGTATGCTGTCTATTTTAGGGAGTTGGGACTTTATTTCAAATTCAAATGGAATTATTTTGGGGGCACTTAGCAAAAGTATGTCATTCAGTTCAGAAACCAGAATGGAAGTAACCATGAAACATTACAGAGAAGTTGTCATGGGCGTACATGGCAGCTTGCTCCTTCCTGAGAAGCCAAATTTTGCTATTCAAGAATTGGGGTTTTCACTGAGTCAATAAATTTTGTCCTTTAGTTACCATTGGCACAGTGGCTTTGATAGCATTCTGACATTTCCAAGACATCAGTACAGATTTTTTGCTCTGGGTTGACCTTATGGCAAGATGAACCCTTTCAGAATAAATTAAAAAATGCCATTATCTGAAAGCCAAACATAAGAATTTAATAGTAACTTTCTATCCTGGTCAACAAGGTCAAGATGGGAGGTTTAGAAGCTCCCATTCCTTGGATAGTCTTCAAGTCAAGTCTATCCCTGGATAGTGTTGTCTGTGGGAAGGTGGAGGAGGTGACCCCTTTGCAGTCAGAGAACTGCCGCCATCTGGTCAGCAGGAAGGTCAGTATACAGAGCTCTGGTCCTCAAGTGTGAGCTGAGCCCTTCTCCTTCCTTCCCTGGTGTCTTAGTTACTTTTCTAATGCTACGACAAAATTCCATGACCATGGTAATTTAGAAAAGAAACTGTTTAAGCCAGGCAATGTTGGCACATGCCTTTAATCCCAGCTCTCAGGAGGCAGGGGCAGGTAGATCTCTGTGATTTCAGGCCAGCCTGGTCTATAAGAGCTAGTTCTAGGACAGGCTCCAAAGCTACAGAGAAACCCTGTCTGTGTTTAATTGGTCTTACGGTTGCAGATGGTTAGAGGCCAGAGCAAAAGCATGGTGGCAGGGACAGCTGAGAGCTCACATCTTGATCTACAAGTAGGAAGCAGAGAGAGAAAACACACTGGCAATGGTGTGGAACTTTTGAAACCTTGAAGTTCAGAGTTACACTCCTCCTCCAACAAGACCACCCTTCCTAATCCTTTCCAAATGGTTCCACCAACTGAAGACCAAATATTCAAACATTTGAGTGTGGGGGATTGTTTTGGAAAATTACTACTGAGAGTGGGAAGTATTTCAAAATGCTTTAAGACAATGTTCTGAAATCACATCTCTAAAGATGGCCCCGGAAGACAATAGATTGCCCTGCCTCTCTGTGCCAGCCCTGCCTAATTCCCGGGGGATGTTGTGAGACAACAGGGACTGCGAAGTCTGCGTAGTCTTTGACATGTGCGGTGATGAACAAATTACTCACCTCCACTTAGCTTTTAAGCAATCACTTACACTTAATTCATTCTTTCAGGTGATCAATTGACTCGACATAGAACCTGTGTTGGATCTGTGCCATGTATCACTAAGGTGTCCCACGCAGGACCCTTCATTGACATCTGCCTCTGAGAAGATGTATCAGTTTGTCATGGGATTTCAATTTGTCTTTTTAAGCTACAAAGTGAACAGTCCTGTGAATTTACTTTATTCTGAAAGCAGAAAAAAAAACTCACATATTTCCTAGATGGGGGAGCATTCGTCAGGAGACAGCTGTGTTACAGACTTCGATGCTATGTTTGCACATGGGACTGTTTCCTTGTGGGTGAGAGAGGCAGAGTTCATATTTCCTATAAAGCTTTTCTTTTAAACTGAGAGAAGTCTGAAATTGGGCTGTTAAGAGGCCAGTCTAGAATGGGGTCTAGAGAGTCTGGCCTCTGCTTGTTCTTCATTGGTTCTCATCTGTTCCCTACTCACCCACCATCCATCTTACTTACACCCATTGTATAGTGAGTACTTGGCTTTCATTGGCCCCGTGATCTTCACCCTGTGTGAGCAAGGGCAGGCAGGCATCCTTAGGATGGTCCAGGCTGGCAGGGAACTTGGAGATAAAATCATGGTTTGTTACTTCTGACTTCCCATCCCATGCATAGAACAATCTTTGGCAGAATCTCTTCCAATGAGAGTCTCTTCATATACTTCGTTCTAGAAGCCTATAGTCTGGTGGTTGCTGGAAGTCCCTGGGCCTTCCTGAACTCTGTAGCAAAGCCCTGCACATATGCAGGTCCCTCCTCAAGGCTGTGGAACATGAGCAAGCCACCCTCACATGAAGAGAGGAAGACATGTCGTCTCCACATCAAGGTTCCATCTGACTGGCTTGTCAAACTGTGTGCAGGGTCCTGCGTTTGGGGCCCTGGATGCTTGAGGAGGCGT